TCTGTTGCCCAGGCTGTCCTTGAACTCGTGGCCTCAAGGGATCCTCCCAGCTCCCCCTCCCAAAATGCTGGGATTACAGGTATGAGCCACTGCAATGACCCATTTCTTTATGTAGTCTTCCAGCTGTTCAGCCAATGCTTAACTCTGAACCAAGTGCCAATCTTTGAATCTACTAGTGACCTGAAACCTTTTCTTGGCTGACCCAATGTATACCTCCCATGTATTGATTGATGTCTTTGCCTGTAACTGCTGTCTCCCTGAGATGTATAAAACCAAGCTGTAACCCAACCACTTTGGGCTCACGTTCTCCGGACCCCCTGAGGCTGTGTCACCAGCCATGGTCATTCAAACAGGCCCAGAATAAAACTCTTTACAGACTTTGACCCTTTTTGGTCAACATAACCTAACCCTAAACATAATCTTCCTGGGGAAGGTAAGATCACAGGCATCTCTTTTCTTCGTTCGATTTGTGTGTGTATTTCCTGATTTCTCTACAGTTTTTAGGCATTCGCTGTGTGATCTAGAAAAGCTACGTTGTCTCGCTCCATCACCAGGCTGGAGTGCAGTGGCGTGATCTCGGTTCACTGCAACCTCCGCCTCCCGGGTTCAAGTGATTCTTCTGCCTCAGCCTCCCCGAGTAGCTGGGATTACAGGCACGCGCCACCATGCCCAGCTAATTTTTGTATTTTTAGTAGAGACGGGGTTTCACCATATTGGCCAGGCTGGTGTCTATCTCTTCACCTCGCGATCCGCCCTCCTTAGCCTCCAAAGTGCTGAGATTACAGGCGTGAGCCACCGCGCCCGGCCACAAATTCTATTTTCTTTTTCTTCCTTGGAAAGCATCGCTGGGCATTTATCCTGTCCTAGTATTTGAGTGAAACTTCTCTTAGCATTTCAGCGCAGAGACCATGATACTCCCTTTCCTTTCCTTCTCGTTATGGGAAACTCGGTTCTAACCCAGAGGCCTTGGGCTCCAGGACCCAGTCAGGCAGCCCTGGACTTGACCCTAAAAGGGAGTAAAGACAAATGCGAAATTCAGTCCAGAGTTCAGGGATTCCAAAGCTCATAGCCTAGAGCTTCTTAACCTTTAGGCGAGGTAGAGACATTTAAAACAGCCCCTAAACTTGAGAAGCGCGTAGGCTCACGGGAAATAGAGTCCGGTACTCGTCCTGCGACCAGCGGCGGGCCCTGGGAGGCGGACTTCCGGTGCACTCCTGTGCGTGTGCACTGTTCTCTGTGTGCAGGTTCGCGCATGCGCTCCGCCGCCACACTGCCCTCGCTTCCGGTGCGTCCTCAGGTCACCGCTTGCTCTGGTTCCCAGGCTTTGGCCTCCAGTGGACGGGAATCGCGGAGCTTGCGGGGCTGGACGCTGACCGCCAGGGCAAGCACCTAGGCGGGCGCGGAGCTGTGCGGGGCAGGGTTCGCGCGGGCCGGAGGGAGGCTCGAGCGGGGATCCCGGAGCGTGAGCCCCGGAGTCGGCGGCGCTGGGGCCACAGGGGCCGGGCGGGAGGTGGCGGAGGTGGCGGAGGCGAAGGGGCGGCAGGACCCGGGCCTGGCCCGTGTGTGTCCTCGGCGGCCTGGCCCAGGCCGCTGCTATACGGTGAGCCCCAGGGAGGCGGATCTGGGCCGCGGGAAGGACACCCGCCTGGATTTGCTCCTAGGCCCGGCCCGGGCCCGTCGGGAGCAGAACAGCCTTGGTGAGGTGGAGAGGAGGGAACCTCGCGAGCAGACGCGCGACAGCAGGCCCGCCCCGGCCTCTCGGGAGCCGTGGGGCAGAGGCTGCGGAGCCCCAGGCGGGTAGGTCTTGGGTTTTCGGGCCTGGAGCGAGAAGGGCCTGGGTAAAGTCACCGTGCGTTGGGGACCTTAGAGTATGGGGCAGGGGGAGGGTCCCGATCGCTTGCAGGAGAGACGTGTGTTTCGGTTTGAGGGCAGGGTCCGGCTGCACCGAACAGGCGCTGCATGGGAGGATCTGGGAGGACGAGGCTTACGGGGACGTGCAGGGTGTCACCAGCCTCAGCTGCGGACGTCGTCTCCACTCCCCACTAACCCCTAACAGCCCTTCCTCCTCCTCTCCGTGCTCCAGATTTCGACCGCCTCTAAACGTCTGTCAGCACCTCTGTTCTCTCATTTAAGTGTCTGCTGATTCCCCCCTTAGCTCTGCCCTGGAGAATGGTAGTAATGCAGGAACAGTCTGCAGGGATTCTCTCTTGCTGCCTCAGTTGCTAGGGGAAGAGGCTGGGCCTTAGCAGGTGGACGACTTGACCAGGTCACCGGCTTTGTGGGTAGAGGTGCTCATAGTAGAGCTCAGGAGTCTTATCTCCCAGGCCAGTGTTCTTTCTCCCGTATCCTAGTTTTCTTAATAGAAGATTGTTAGGTGCAGCAATAACCAAATTCAGTTAGATAATTTAGAAACAAAGCCATATTTTATACACATTCCTTTCTGAGAGCTCACATACTCAGTTCCTATGGCTTTTCTTATTTTAAGCAGTTTAAAGAGACAATAAGGAAATGTGGGCGGATGCAGTGACTCACACCTGTAATCCCAGCACTTTGAGGGACTAGGGCAAGAGTATCCCTTGAGACCAGGAGTTAGAGACCAGCCTAGGCAACATAGGGAGACCCTGACTCTACAAAAAATACAAAAGTAGCCACACATGCTGGGATGCACCTGTGGTCCCAACTACTCAGGAGGCTGAGGTGG